TTATAGCAGCACAATTAATAATTGCTAAGTCCTACAAGCAGCCTGTATACCCATCACAGATGATTGAATGGAATAAAAAATGACAAATTTGAGGCATTTCTGGAAAATGGATATACCACAAAAATGTAATACTGAGTGAAATAAGTCAGAAACACAAGCTTAAGTACTGTATAATATCAGTCATTTGAATGAGGCAAATACAAAGAAAATTATTTAGAATCAGTAGAAAAGCACAAGGGGACACATCCTGTCCTATAAGTAGGGGTCTAAGGGACACAATGGACAAGGGGTGAGGAGAAGGGGAAAAATATGTGCCATGTATAGGAAGCTAATAACTTCAATCACTGTAGAAATTATATTTAATAACATGAGCTAAGACAGTATCATTATGTAAAAGGTGACAGGCAGAGGGGAGGGAAAGGAAAGGGGATTAGAAGAAAAAAACATGCTGACAAGCTGTAATATGTACGTGTAACCACTCCCCAAGATGAATGGAAATTGTTAACTACAAACATGTACTAATAAAATTAAACTAAAAAAAAAAAAAAGTCAGGCAACATTCCATCATACATGTCAAAAGGATAAGGGAAGATTTCAACATCTTAGATTAAGTATAAAAATTATTTGAAGACAACTACCAAACCACTCTCAGAGATAACTTGAATAGTCTCATAATCATTATAGAACTGAAATGTACATATAGAAACTTTCCCACTATGACAATTCCAAGCCCAAATGGCTTAGTTGGTGACTTCTGTCAAACTCTCAAGGAAGAAATAACTATCCTATACAAACTCTTCCAAAAAAAAAAAAAAAAGAACTGAAAAAGAGAAATGCATCTTATGATAGCACATAATTAGTAGTTGAACTATGTTGTAAGATCGTATACAGGTATTTAAAAATCATCTTCTATACCAATAACAAGTGGATATGGAAAATGGAAAAATGGTACCATTTGCAGTAGTATCTCAAAATACATAGGGATACAGCTACCAAAAGATGTATAAAGCACTGCTGAGAAATGAAGACAACTAAATGGAGATATGTTGTGTGTATGAGTTTGGAAGATTCAGTATTGCAAAGATGTCAGGTCTCCTCAAAAGCAGTGCCATCCCAGTCAGAATACCAACAAGTGTTTCTGTGGTGTATGACAAAGTGATTATAAAAATCAACCGGAAAATGCAAACGTGCTAAAATAGTGAAAATTTTGAAGCAGAACAAGTCGAAAGCCTTAAGCTACAGGATTTCCCACCATATACATGTTTGAACCCTAGAGACATTACACACACAAAAAGACAAGTATTATATGATTACTTTTTATTTTTCTATAGTATTTCAGAAAAGATTATACTTTTGTGCGATGCCTAGAATACCAAATGTATGAAGACAGAAAACAAAACAGTGATAACCAGGGGCTGGGTAGAGAATAACATGGTTACTACTTAATAGGTACAACAGCTTTATTCTGGAATGATGCAGTGTTCTGGACAGGTACTGGTGATGGTAGCTACAGTATTATTTTACTTACTTTCACCAAACTTGAAAATGATTAAAAAGGTAAATTCTGTTACATATGGTTCACCATAAGTGTAAGTCAACCAAACTGATAGAGATGCCATACTAACTGAAGCACTCAGATGATGGACTGAATTTTTAATGTGCTCAGAATGGTCAGTTAAATTATCAAAAGGCTGAGATAATGTGTTGCTGTACTTTATAACTGAGTTCGAGGCATGTATTTTTATGGTTTTGGAAGTATGCTGGTCTTTATTTGTAATAATATCTAGAGCACATTAATTTATAAATTGTTTGATGGCAAAACTCAAGTGAAAAAAATTTCAAAAAGCACTGAAAATCTTTAATGATCATGTTAATTGGGAAGTTCTACAGGCAGGAACTCTGTATGATGTGATAGGAAGCAGTGTCCTGCCACAAGGCAGCACAAGCATCTGTGCTTGTAATTCAGTAGCATTTATCTTTTTTTCTTCTCAAAATGTTTGATGGGATGGTAAAAACTCAATTATTTTTTTTAGAAACCATGCTAATATAAAATGAATTCATATTTTGACCTCTTCCTGTTTGTAAGGACACATTAGTAAAAAAAAAAAAAAAAAAAATGGGAATGACCTTACAGACTTTCCATGCCTAAATAGATGGTAGTTAAACTGGAGAGTTTGGGAACTTAAATATATTTTGGTACTAGGAATGAAGCCCAGGGTCTTCACACTAAACTACATTCCAGCCATTTTTGAGACATCTTTGAGACAGCATCTAAGCTGCCCAGGCCCAGCTCAAACTTCTGATCTTCCTGCCCCACCCTCCCAAGAGTGCTGAGATTACATGTGTATACCAGCATATCTGGATAATTATTTTTTTAATGGAGGAAAGAAGACTTCATACAAATAGTTAAAAACCAGGGTAAAGTAAGTATTGGGCCTAACTCAACCTTTTTTTTTTTTTTTAACTCAATCATTTTTTTGAGGTCAATCACTGGATTTCTCTAAAGCTGTAACTGTAAGGGAAATAAAAGGAATACGTTTTATCAAAATGTGTCATGAAAATAAATTGGCATCTAAGCTGAAGTGAATTAGCATTTAATATTAGCTTATAATTATGAAAATCATAGCATATACATGCTAAAACATTCAAAGGGCCCTTCTTCACCAAGAGTGCTCCTGCTACCACCACAAAGTGGTATTTCAGCTTATCAGCTGCTCTGATAGATGTGTTCATGTCACCTTGTGTACTCCTTTCTCAAATCCCCAGGTAATCTTCCCAACTTGTCCAGAAAGAAACCTACATGTAAAGTCCTAGCATACATTTACATTCTCTTCTCCCTCATTTTTTGTTGTTTCTTGGGGGCGGGGGTAGAGGGGTAGAGCCGAGGACTTGAACCTAGGAACTTCATACCAAACTACATCCTCAGTCTTTTATTTTATTTTGACAGTTTTCCTAAGTCACTGAGTGGTCCAAGATAGGCTAGAAATTTGTCTTCCTGCTTCACCTCCTGAAGTGCTGGGATTACAGGAATGTGCTACATGTCACTCTTACCTCTCTACTGAAATGCCTTCATGCCAAAAATACAATTAGAAAGCAGAGTAATGCTAAAGTCATGAACATTATGTGCCTGTATATATGAGGCACTGAGGTTATTTCAAATCCATGAGATCATATAATTTCTTTAATGTATTTAGTACAGGGTCTCGCTGTGTAGATCAGACTTGTAGTGATTCTCCTATTTTCAGCCTCCCAAGCACTGGGATTACAGGCACACACCACCACACCCAGTCTCAGTTGCCGCCTCAGCATGCCCTGGATCAAACCCCGGCCCCTGTGCTCTGCCTGAGCAGGCGCTTTAGTCCGCTGAGCTATCTGGCCAGCTCTCCAGGTCATGTAATCTTGAGAACCATGTAAGGCAGATATACTAATTTCACTCTACAGTGAAAGGCTGAGAGAGACTAAAATCATGAAACTTAAAGGTAGAGAACAAGTATTTAAATTCAATTTCATGTTTTTCTTTCCACATGTACACATCAGTATAAACAAGAGTCTAAGTACTCATTGGTTAGAGGAATCTCTGTCCACCTGAAACTTCAGTTGGTCACATCACTTCATAGTCCTGGTGTTTCTTTGAATATTTTCTTGCTGTTACTCATTCTAGCACTCTGCCACTCTAGGCTTATTAGAACTTTGGATAACAGTCTCTTGCTCTGTGCCTCCACCTTGAAAGGCTGCCCTCTGCCATGTGTCCCTCTGCCTTGGAGCCACCTGAGTATGGAATGAAACCTCCAGTAACTGTGAGCTAAATAAACCTTTCCTTCCTTCATTTTGACTGTTGGGTATTTGTCCCAGCAATGAGAGAAGAGTAACTAAGACAGAGCAGCGTGAATAATATTAAAGAGCTGCTCTACAGAATGACTGCCTGGGTATGGAATCTGGACACATGTGACCCAGTGATGTTGAACGAGACTGATATCCACAGAAGTTGGCTGTGGACAAGACAATGAAATTTCTGATTTTATGGAATTTCCACTCTGAGAAAAATTTCAGATATTTTTATAAATTTCTTTTCTTTTTTTTTTTTTTTTTGGTGCAACCAGGGATTGAACTCAGGCCCTTGCGCTTTCCAGGGAAGCACTTATTCCACTGAGCCATCACCCTGGCCCCTTTTATAAATTTCTTAAATAGCCCTAACTTGGTCAGATTTCAAATGTAGTTATTATGTAGTGACTACTTTTCTGCATTTGATCTAACTTAAGCCATTATGCTAGATTCTGGATTCTATATAATGGAAACCAAACTGATAATGATATAGTTTCCTAAATATGGCCATAATCATTAGAATCTGGTTATTATTATGTGTAAGAGTAAAATAAAGTGAGAAACTGTGTTCTCTTATTTTCAACAGAGAACTATGTCATCAGCCCATGAACAAGTCCTTTCTACAGTAAAGAAACTACTTAGCTATGCTTGGACACATTGTTTCAAAATTACTGAAAGAGTTATTTCTGTATTCCTTTTACAATTAATATTATGTTGTGAATAAGTTCTACCAAAAGGAAATTTAAACAGTGACATGAACCACTTCTAAATCAGGATCTTAAAAGAAAAGGATATTAACAATCTTGGCTTAATTTTTCTTTCTTGGATAAGAAGACTCAAGCCTTTCAGATTACAGAGAAAACCAGAGTTGAAGGCTACGAGGATATGCACATAAATAACTTATATGCTGTTTAAAAAAAAAAAAAAGAACTTTGGATAGAAGAGGTAGGCAGGAAGGAATGGCAGAGGCAGGGAACTTGTGAGGGACTAGAACAGTGACAGTTCTGCTGAGGAAGGATGGAGGGCAGCAACAGCTGGAAATGTCAGCTAGTCTAATCACTATACCTTTTATCACAGCCAGAAGCTCGGGCTTATGTTTGTGCACAGAATGACAGTGCAGGAAGGTGTGGATGAAGAGAAATCGAAAGAACAGCTCATTTCCAAATTATTTCCCACAGGTCATGGAGGATACTGAAGAAACAGTGTGAACTACAGCAGTTTTCACCTAACAACAGTAGAAAGTGAAATACCATAAGGTAAAACAAATTCAAAACATTAATCCTTTCAACAGAAGACCCGGTAAACACTGCACCTTAAGGCAGCCTGTTCTGATGGTGCACATGTGTCCACAGGGCACTGCTGCTGCCCAGCGAGCAGGGAGTGACTGCAGGTCCATTTCTCCCTGTAGGTGATAGTGGTGAAGTCTCAAGGGCAAACCTGCCCACAGCTTGGAAAGAAAGCTGTAGACATTTAAGGTGACCTTAGGAAAAAAAGATGTAAATCCTTTCGATGCAACTAGTGTTTGGTTTAGGGCTTCAAAAAACCCCACCTCAACAGATGCTTTCAGTAGTCTCAAAAGTTTCTAAGAACAGATAAAACTGTGCAACCATTTCACTGGGCATTCGAAAAAAAATAGGCAGATTTTACACTGAAAGGTGTATTTTAATACTGATAAAATGGTCTTTTTAAATAGAAATTGATTTCAGAGATCAGTGAAACCTAAACCTCAAAGTATGAGGTTAGAAAAGATGGTGTAATAGTGAAAATACCAATGGAAATATTTAGGATTGTTATTCTTACGTTGTTAAACTCCAATCCTATTTTCTTGACCTTAATTTTTACTGTAGGATTTTGGAGAATGCAGTTTTCATCTCTTGGGGGAAACATTAAAAACTGGTTTGGTTAGAGTAATTTTCCATTTTTTCCACCTAAACTGTACTGACTCTTAAAAAAAAAAAAAAGCAGAACTTTTAGGAAGTGGGAAAACACTTGTAGCAGCCCAGGAGAGTGGTGTTCCGATCACAGGGTGAAAAAGTTGAAGCAGAGGAGCACACACTGGCCAAAGGCCAGCCCTGAATCACATTTTTTCAGAACTGGTGAATAAAATGGCTTTTGGGCACACGCCTTGTTCATGAAGGATGGGTGGGCAGATGGACTTGTCACTGGTGTTTCAGTCCTTTCTCCACTCACGCATTCTTTGTGACAAATACAGGTGTGAGGCATCAAGACAAGGATAAAATGAAAAGCTCTTGTGTAATTGTTTTAAAGGCTTCAGCTTTAGAACAGTTTTAGACTTACAGCCTTAATAATTCAACTTGATTTTTCTACTTTGCAGTGGTACAAAAGTGGTATGCATTCATTACAAACTGCACTGAGTTCTGACTTCCCGGTTATCTGTGCAAGATGCAATCATGGGATGCTGGCCAGAAGGCTGCACTCTACTAAGAGCTACCTGAGCCAGCGCAGATGCCGATGGCTTCAGTGCCGTGTGGTTACACTGTGACATCTGGTAGCTGGGTGTGCATGTTACTTAAGGGTGCTTTCCATGTGGGTCTATCCAGACATGGCCCCACTGAGGGGCAGGGAGCAGATTTGCTGTGTTACCTTCCATCAAGCTTTTTGGTCAGTCAACACAGTGCACCAGATTAGTGAGCACTCACTAGTCCAGATTTGGAGTGCCATTTATGGACTCTGACTAGCGCACAGCACGTGACCCTCCACTACAGCACTATGTGCAACAAGCCCGCTGCCCTAAACCTGTGCTGTTTATTCTTACAATCACTTAGCAGCACGCAATTAAGGGTTCCTCTTCTTGTGGCAGGAAAGTGTTTTGGGTTTGTTGTTTTTTGGTTTGTTTTTTGTTTTTTTTTAAACAGGTAGGGGGGCAGGGGAGATAGCTCAGTGGAATAAGTGCTTGCCTGGCAAGCTCAAGGTCCTAAATTCAATCCCTGGTACCGCAAATAAATAAATAAATAAATAAATAAATATTTAAAAATTCAGTTCTAAAAACATTACTGTGGAAGAACGTTAAGACTGTTTTAACTACTTTGTAGTTTTATGAAGTGCGCTCACTTTGTGAGCAGCCACTGCCAGTTCAATCTCCAGAGCTTTTTAATAATTCTCTATTAAAATCTTTGCACACTGCAATCTCTACTTCTTAACCCCAACACCAACAGAAAGTAGTTTTTTGGTTGTACATTTTACTATTACAGAGCTTAATGTAAGGGGCATCATACTGTACTTTTGTAGCTTCTTCCATTTAACATAATGCTCCCGAGGCTCACCCACATGTACATCAGAGTTCAGTTCCATTAATGGCCAAATAACAGTCCTTTGAACAGATATATTGCATCTTTTCTTCCAATAAGCACTTATTTCGAGCTCTGACTGCAATGAACACTGCTGCAGTGCAGTGTACAAATATGCCTTAGGCTTCTGCTTTTTAAAAAAAATATTGGCATAGGAAGTCATGTGATTGACAATTTCATATTTCATTTAAAAACTATGATGTGTGCCATACACATGTGCCACTTTACAGTTCCACCAGCAATGCTCAGGAGTGGAAATTTCTTCCTATCTTTGCCAGCATTTGTATGAAAGGTCACAGAAAGGTATTGTGGGTTCTGCATTTCCTGTTGTTTACCACTGTTGGTCATCTTTCATGTGCTCAGTAGCCAGAGGTATGTGTACGTTCTCTAGAGACCTGGAGGTCCTTTGCCAATTTTAAATCAAGCTTTGTTTATGTTACACTTTTGTTCTGTATGTATTCTAGATGTTAAATCCTTATATATGCACTGCAAATATTTTGTTTCATTCTGAGGACTGCCTTTGAGGCTTGGTATCCTTTCATACACAAAGTTTAGTTTTGGTGAAGTCCAGTTTGTTCTACTTTTGCTGCCTGCAAATTTAGTATTAAATCCGAGAAATCAATGCCAAGTTCAGTATCTTACACTTTTCCATTTTAATTTTTACAAATCTTTTATTTGGTACCAGGTCTCACTACGCAGCTCACTCATATGTGATCCTCCTGTTTCAGCCTCCCCAGAGCTGGGATTACAAACGTGCGCTACCACGCCATTTCAGTGATGGCAGGGCCTGCCCAGGGTTCCAAGGCCAGCTTCACATGTGATACTGGGGATTAAACCTGGTCCTTGCGCTTGCCAGGCAGGTGCTTAGACTCCCAAGCTATCTCCCCAGCCCCTACTTTTCCATTTTCCACTTGAAGTTTGATAGTTTTTATGCTTGTATTTAGGTTTTTGACCCATCTTGTTATTTTTGGTATATGCTATTAGGTTGGGTCCTAACTTGATTCATTAGCATATGACTATCTTATTTACCTGGCACCACTTATTTTGACTGTCCTTTCCGTATTGAAAATAATCTATGTATTCTTATGAAAAAATCTTATAGAAAGGCTTCTTTTCTAGGCTATTTTATTCTACTGATTCTTCTGTCTGCAAGAATCAGATCCAAAGTCAGGTTCGAGTTTTCCAGTTTGTTATTCAAGATTAATTTGCAAGAGTGACTTGGCTACTTGGGGTCCTTTCAAATTATATCGCATCTTCAGGATGTAGTTATTTCTGCAAAAGAAAAGCCAATGGGGTTCTGAGCAACTACATTAAATCTGTAGGTTACTATTCATCAGAATTGACATCTTAGATGTATTTGTCTTTAGCCTCTTTCACTTGTTTTGCAGTTTTCACTATGTGTAAGCTTTCTCTGATAACTCCTACATTTATGCTCAATACTATTCTCACAATTTTTTCATCTTCATTAATGTATGGAAATGTTAGATTTTATCTTTGTATCCTGTTGTTTTGGCAATTCACTTACTGGCTGAAACAATCTTTTTGTGGCTGTTAAGTTTTCTACATGTAACAGCATATAGAATGAGCATGGAGGCACTTGGATTCAAAACCCTGCCTTTCAAAAAAACCGAAACAAACTTTCAACCTTCTACTGCTGTGGGATTTTTCAGTAGGCCTTTTATTATGTTCATGTAAGTTTAGGGTTTGTTTTTCTGAATGTTTTCAATCACAAAGGGGTACTAAATTTTATGAAAGGCTCTTCCTGCATTACTTGAGTGTCACAGGTCTCCCCCTGCTATTAATGTGGTATACTATAATGATCCATTTGATGTTGAATCATCCTTGCATTCTAGAAATATTATGGTTGTGCACAACTCTACAGGAAAAAATATACAGGAATCAGTCCCATCTGCTCAGTGTACAATCAGAGTATTGCTGCAGTTCACTAGTGTCATACTAAGGGACATAGTATTCATAAGGGACACCTTGTAGGTTTTGGCTTTCCTATGTAGTCGTGCACAATGTCTCAGACCTTACAGTGTGATAAACTAATATCACAATTATCTGTTTGTGTAAATATACTCTTTGTACAATGACAAGAAATTATGTCACCAAGCAATATGTGACTGCACATACCCATGATAAAGTTTGATTTCTACGAAACTAACAAGGTTAGGGGTATAAGCTCAGTGGTAGAGTACCTGCCTACCATATATGGTGCCCTGGATTTGATTTCCAGCATTATGAACAATAAAATGGAGCAATTATAATATATTGTAATAACACTGTCAGCATCAGTATCCTTGTGGTTTAGGGCCATTAATTAGTAAAATAAAGGTTATCTGAGCAAGACAGGGCGGTGTCCCACAGTCCTCTATGCAGTATTCACCTTCTTGCTTCTGCTTCATTTCTGCATTTGATTGTCCTCTTTCAAGTTTGCTCATTTTTTTCTTTTTCCTTTGCATTTGCTTCTGAACACTTCTGGTGAGGTTTTCATTTGTTATTGTATTCATCTCCTGTTATTTTGGGGGTCTTTATGTATTTTTTTCTGTTTACCAATTTTTCACATTTACTATTTCCCACATTTTCCTGTAGCTCTCTGAGCATATCTGAGATAGGTATTTTAAAGTCTCTGTCTACTAAACTTTATGCCTAGGCTTAAGGACATTGTGTCAGTTTATCTCAATTATTTAAACAGGCCAAGGGCCAGCCAAATAGCTCAGCAAGTGCCTGGGGGTGGGGTAGGGGTTTCCATCCCCAGGGCCTGCTGTAGTGGCCCCACCCCCAGGGCATGCTGGCACACGCGTATAATTCCAGCACTTGGGAAGCTGTAAACACAATCACTACCAGTCCGGTCTAGTACTGAGACACTGAATATCTTGTAGACCCTTCCCTAAAATTAAAAAAAAAAAGGCCTATTTTCTCTTCCTTTGTATGCTTTTTTTTATAGCAAAAAGAAAAAAGCAAACATGGTGACTCTAGCCTGGTCCCCTTTGATAAAGGCCTGCTGTTTTTGTTTTGGTTAAGAATGTCAATTTTTATTTTGCAACTTTTTCAAACTTTGTACAAAAACTCCTTTCCATGCAATTGTTAAAAGTCATTTTTTTTCCATTGTTCTTTTTTGGGCACACTTGGCTATTCTGATAGAAATTACCATGAACGGTGGTCCTCAAGGTCAATTATGTTTTATTCCCATCTGTATGTGGTATCACAAGAAGACTTGGAACACAGTATGCAACTTTTGGTTAGTCAGAAGTGGAAAAATGCCGAGAAAGCTCTCCTAATTCTCAACCTCATAATTCACATGTTAAAACCTGGCAAACACAAGGTCCTAAGTTTGATTCCTAGTACCAAATGTATAAATAAAGCAGCATTAATCAATCTTGCCCTTTTGCTGGTTGTGATGAGCCACTACAGAATAAAACCTTTTATAAAGGTGTTTACAAAATTAAAACATTAAATGACATGTGCTGACTTTTGTCAGTGCTTCCTACTTTGTAGCGCTGCATGTTCTGGGGACCTGTCTTCAAGTACGGAACAAAGCGGAAATGCAATATACACAGCACAAAACCATGGCTTACAAGTATCTGACTACTGATCCCTAGATATGAGACTGGCATGAGATGAGCTCTCTAGTAACATGTTCTTTACATAGTACAGTTATTAGTTTTGTCCATGCAACCAAGACCATTATTACAGAATCTAACTGTATTTTCTTTATTTTAGCATTAATCCACCTAAACTGAAAATCAAGTTTATCTCCTGACATCGCATGATTTCCCATGGAAAGAATTTAAAGTCTTCTGTTCCCATTAAAACTCAACCTATGGATCGTATTTTGAAGAGTATAAAAATCATAGTGCTTTTTCTCGAAAACGTCTCCAGATTGCACAGAAATTGGTTGTGTGAGCTTCTCCTGTAGTTTTTTACATGTTCATTTTCTTACGTTTGCAGTGTACATCAGTGGCAGATCTGGACACTTAAGTGGATATGAACCATAGGAAATGAACCATATTTAAGGAAAACAAAACTTTCATAGTGAAGCAACCTATTGGACCTATTGGCCCTCACCTCTCATTATAGCACTTTGCAAGAGGTATTTGTTTCTAGGGATTTTTGGTGGATTTTGTCCGTTTTGGTACTGAAAATCAAACCAGGTGCCTCACTCATGCTAGGCAAGCACTCTTACCACTAAGCTGCATCCCCAGCCCTTTCTGAGATGGCCTTGAACTCAAAATCCTCTTGCTCAGCCTAAGTAGTTGGGATTACAAGCATGCATACATCAGCTATTCTAGGTTTTATAAGGGGTGACAATAGTGTTTAAATTTTTAAAAAGTATTACAATAAAAGCCATATTGCTACTATTCCTCCTCAAAATACTTTCTCACTTGGAACACCTATTCCAGTGTTCTTGCCACTCTCCAAAGCAGGTCTAGAGGAGTCCTCTTTCATTATAAGGTAACACCAAAAACACAGTGTGTATTTGAAATGCCATCCAATGGATAGACAGGTTTTAAAAACATGACACTATATTTACATCTACCTTATTTACTGGAACTAGCACCATGGGACCAATGGTTCTTCCCCAAAGTCAAAATAGCCGTGAGAACCAGGTTCTCAGCTCTTCAGTGGCTGATGCAGGAGGATAACCAAAAGTGAGGCCAGCCTGGACTACATAACGGGACCATCTCAAAATAAGTAAGTAATAAAAAATGTTTTGAATCAGTTCAGGACAGTAAGGAAGCCGTGACACTCACAAGATGACTTAGATGACTTCCAGAATTGCATCAAATGTGGCAGTAACAATAGGATAAGTGTTCAAAGTGAGGAAGAATATTTTGAGGTGGATTAATGGCAATGCCTTTAATGTTTTTTAAATGTAAACATTTACTGTATTTTCTAATTGTAGCTTGTAATTCCAACATTTACAGTCCCTTGTCCTCAGATTTCTACTTGAATCAAAATTATAAAGCACTATAGTCTTAGAAATGGTTTCACTTGGAAAACAGAAATCAATATTCTTTAATGACTTGATTAGATAAACTGTTTCATCTGCTCTTCACTTTACAGTAGGATAGTTCAGGATGTGAAAATAGGGTTAACCTTTATTTGTGCTCATCTCAGTTTTTCAAACATTAACTACAATGGTTGTCATCTCTAGGAGTATCGATTGAGCTATAACCATTATTCTCTAATATTTACTTTTGCAATGGCAAGCCTTTCAAAATAACGTACCAATTATAGTGCTTTAACTGGTTAAAATTCCTCCCATATAATCAGGAGGTCTCTTGGGAGGCAGGAAGGATAACTTCCTATCAGCACTACAGTGGGTTTCTACTGGGCCAACTCCTTCCCTTTCTACTTTGCACTATGGTTTTGTTATCTATAAATAACAAGAACTAAAGCCTCACCTACAAGGAATTGAGTATAGTAGGAAAACTCTCTTTTAAAAGGAAACTTTTCATGAATATTTTAAGACAGTTTTTAAATTTTTAAAAATCTCTTTGACTCTATTATCTAACCAACTTTGGTTAATATGAAGGATGAAAATAAATTCACAAAATATTTTCCCTACATGCTATGTAAAGATACCCAAGGACTGGAATTTTGATCCGCTAATAATGGATACTGATGTCAGGTAGAAAAATTAATAGTGAAACAAAAATGGCTAAACAGATATAGATGAAAAGTTCTCAGTCAAATTTATCTCTGAACTGTCTTCAGGCACTAATACTTACCTATAAAAAAAACACAACCTCTGTATATGTACACAGAGCAAGACAAAACTCTAAAAGTCAAAGTGAGGCGAGCCAGGCAATCTGAAAGCTGAATCAGAGGAGGATTGAAGAATTTGAGGTCAGCCTGGACTAGAGACCCTGTCTCCAAAAAACAAAAACATGGGAGAGAAGTGATTAAAAAGTAGAAAAACAACGTTAATATATTTGATTTCACTTACCTTTTGAGTTTTTTACTGTTCTGTGAACAAGCTGGCCATTTTAAAAGTGCTGAACATCAGTCACCATCATCTAAAAATATTCTGCAACAAAGACCTGAAAGAAAAAGGCAGCCAAAAAAGGCAAGACACTACCACTGTGCAGGGGCTCCCAAAGAGGTGCAGGGACCCGTGTCCTCTGTGGGTCTCACCCAACCTCTGGATCACCGAGGCTGTGTACACCCAGCTCCACACCAAGCAACAGGGTGGAGAGTAGGCCAAAAATGGTCATGCCACGTGTAAAGGACACTGAAAAATGTGGTCGATCTTTGTCCTGAGGGACATGTGCCTAACTAGTAGTGAGAAGTTCCATGACCATATGAAAATGGCAAGACGGGATATTGAGGAAAACTGGTTCTTTCTGTATACTTCTTGTCTAAATAGTTATGTAAATAGAAATTCAAACTTTTCATCATTTCATGAGACAGGGCTGCAGAGCTAATACCTACCACTCTGGGTTTCATCTACAAAGGAGTTTGTATCCTTCATGTATTTACCAAAATCAATTAAATGCAAAATGCCATATGAACTACCATGGCATGTTTTATTGGCATAAACCAAAATAAGGTAATATAATTTTTTAGTATGCCAGTTAGCTCTATAGAGCTACAGGAAGGGAAAAAAAAAAAAAAACCACACACACACCAACACTCCATTGTAATTGAGAGAAAAAAAAGAAAATGCCTTACTTATAAAATCTAATTAGTCTTGACAATTTATTTGCATACCAATACAAAAATAGCTCTTAAGTTTTGTCAAATAAGTAAAAAGATCAATAATATCATTACAACTTCTGAAAATACCTGGAAAAAATGAAATACAGTAGACAAAAATCTTGCAGCTATCTATGTCTTTTCTCTTTTATATTCTTCTATAAAGTCATGATTTTAACAGGTCACCTACCAATATGAAGAGGCAGATGTGGAAAGTCTAATACTCCAGCTGCCACTATTTAAAGTTACCTTATATCAGCTACATAACCTTGTGCAACACAATCATTGAGATTTGCTTGTTATTGATGCAGAATTCTTGGTTTTATGTTGTGTATAAAATTATGCTTCATGTAGTATGTTAAAAGTTACCTCAGTGTGATCTCAGATCATCAAAGCTGGAAAATAGACACAGATAATATCCCAAGGTTCCATTTTCTGGAAGAGCCAGAACCAACAGTTATATCCTGTGAAAGCTGCTTTATTTAGAGGACCCAAGGTGAATAAGCGCCATTATGGTTGTATAGCTGTGGAACAGATCCTCATCCTTTACCTCGTTACACTTCCTCAATATAAAGTTCCCCGTGACTATCCGGTCACATCCAATTTCTCCATTTCCAAAGAAGCCAAATAAAGGCACACTGGGAAAGAACTTTCTGAATGCATCCGCCTCAACATTGGTCTTGTCTTGGTAATAGTGGAAGCCCCGGCCAACACACGCAAACATGAAGCCGATAGTGTCCTGCTCTGGGATGTTGGCCGCCTTGAGACGCTGCATGGCCGCCTCCACAGCCTTCTCATCACCAACATCCTCGGTAAGGAGCACCGTGGCACTCTGGATGTGCAGCCCACTGAAGGACAATCCAACCACACCGGTGGCATTGATATCTAGAGGACTCCTAGAAAATAAAATTAGAAAAGTAGCATCAAAACAAACAAAAGGTAAAGATCAGAGAAAAACCCACTTGATTCCACTACTGGGGAAGCTGCTGCCCAATTAGCAAACTGCTTACTCTGAGACACATACATCAGAGAAGAGGAAAATTACAGGGTTAAAAATAAAAGTAATACATTCAAAGATTACAGAAGGCAGCTTAGGACAACTCATTTTCAACTACAAATACAAAGGGACCACCCACATTGATAAAGACTTCTGAAACTCACCCTACATTATTAAGAGGAATAGTTTTTCTTCTTAAAGGAACCTTACAGTTACATTCAAATATACAAAACTGTCTACTTTATGAAACTTCTTGAATTTACTATGTTGCGTCTTCCCCTATACCACCTTCAGTTATCAAATTGTGAAAGAGGGTACCTGCTAAAATTCTGTAGGTTTTATGTTGTTTGGTCTGTAAACAATTATGATTACATTGCTTTTTGTCTTGAGAAGACCAGATAAAGTGCTTTATTGTTGTGTTAACCTGGTTTTTAAAAACTGTAATAATAAAGCATATACAGTATAGGAAACATTCAGTGGGGAAGAAACAGATAACTTGCATTTCTATCATGTTTTTCAACAATGAATCTATGGAGCAGGCAAGATTCACTGCATGAGCAGAAATCAAGACTCAAAAAGGTTAACTAAGAAAGCAAGAATAGCCAATGGCAAAACCAACTTGAGAGCAGAGGGATCCCATTTTCTTAACTTTGTGACCTTTTCTCTCTCCGTAGACACCATGTTGTAATGCTTGTTGTTGTGGTACACAATTGTAATCCCAGCACTCTGGGAAACTGAGGCAGAAGGATCTCAAGTTCAAACCCAGCCTGGGCAACTTAGTGACTTTGCAAGATCCTGTCTCAAAGAAAGGCTACAGATATAGCTCAGTGCAACATCTCTGGGTTTAATTCCTACTTACCCTCTACCCCAAACAACAACAAAGCATGGAAATCCTATTCCAACTTGTGAATCTCGCAATAAAAAATTATCTTTTTAGGGTGGGGTAGGCAGGGTTATATGAAAATTAATCTGAACAATGCAAGGATTGACTCAGTGGCTTCTTGTCTACTGACATAGTATGAAGATCCCATTAAAATCCATGGGTTGTGCAAAGTGTGATGATTTCAGGGGTTCTGTTTTTCCACATTAGGTATAAAAAGTGGATGATACCAAATAGCCAAGGCTGGCATCTCAGACTTGTATGTTTCAGTGACAAATCCTCACTACAATCTCAGCATATAGTCCCAAGCCTAGGCCTGTGTGTGTGAGACACTCTGTCTAACATCCTGCTGCCTGGCTTTCTTCTTCAGTGGCAATTCAAGGACCCTGTCTTACCTGTTTCCTTGGTCCATCAATGCAGACTGCTAAAAGAAATAGCAATGGGATGACTTTACTTTCCTCTTAGTCACTGATCCTAACATCATTCCCAAATCCTAAATGCACATCCAGAGAGGAACCTGTGCTAGTATTTATAGGGGAAGGGGCACTTGGTTCACTTCCCTGCTTTTGGACAGCAATGTATTTTCATGAAACATGGAGAGGGACCCAGCAGAATTGGGAGGTGGGGGTAATGGCTTAAGAGAGAAATACAATTATCATGGAAAGCAAAAGTTTTTATCAACAAAAACCAAAGATCCACAATATTTGAGCTTCAAAAAAGTTATTTTAAAGATCAAGCACAGAATTTCTAAAAATGTGCTGTAAAGTCTGCCAGATGCTTCATAAAAAGGTTCTGTGATCAAATAGATCTGAGAACTACCACGTGTAATTTCAATTGCATTAGAGTTCCAAAGCACTGACCATAAGCAACTGCGAGAAGTTTTTCCATAAAGATATATTTTAACGATATACTTCCTTTAAAGAAAACAGGTAGTAAAGAAATGCAGAGGTCACTGCAGTCTGGTCAAGAGAGCAGCATTACCCTACACACTTAAGGGGTACCTTAGGACAGCTGTAGTCTACCTCTCAAGACCCAAGATATTCAGTGTCTAATCAGGTTTTCAAAGAACCAGAAATAGCCTCTATCATGTACAGCTTGACACGGGCACGGATGCCACCATCAAACAGACAAACTAAACACTGCTCGGAACAAGCTGCTTCACTTTCACCACTGTCCCCTGACAATCCAGGCCACTGCCTCCTCAAAGAACACTTGACTCGGTTTCCATCTGAACCTTGGCTCTTGATTATGAAACCCGTTCTGTGCTTGAATAAAAGTTGTACCCTGCTATCACTATAACCTCATTTATGACTTCTTGGTTTGCAGAGGTGACATACTAAGGTCACAGATACTAGAGCCATCCCTGGAGCGTTTAATAAACAATGCTGAAAGCCAATGTTAAGAGCATGAATCTATCTAAGAGAAAATTCTTAAAGGGCACTATGTTCAATTGTAAGCAGAACTACAATAAGCTCCTTAACCAATGTCTACAACAAGAGGGGATTATACATCAGCAATTCTTTAAATCCAGTTTTAAAGAACCCAAAGTAACAAAAATCTATGACTATTTCATTTGTCTGAGGCAAAGACATACTTGTCAGAGGTCAGCGATGACAAACTGTCCACCTGGCCTCCAGCCAAGATGATGTTCATGTCACTGAAAGTGCTGACCACACGCTGCAGGTAACTGCTGGCTCCCACCTTACAGCAATTATAGCCAAATACAAGTACTACACGAAGTTCTGGGTTATCTAGAAGACCTGCAGAGAGATAAAAAGCAACAATTAAAGATGTCCTTAAAACAAAATGTTAGTGGCTAGTGACCAGCACTACTAGTAAAATGCAATTTCAGCATTTTTATAAACTTTAATACTACTTAAAATCTTAGCTGCAATTAAAATTCTTCTATTACAAAAAAAAAAAATTATTTGTATGTAATCCCAGCACTTTGGAATGCTGAGGAAGAAGGATCACAAGGTTGAGCTCAACCTAGGCAACGTCAGAGATTTAGCCAAATTCTGTCTCAAAATTTTAGCAAGGGTGCTGGTAGGTATAGCTTAATGCAAAGCTCTGGTTCAATTTCCAAGACACTTGTGAAATAAAAAATCTTAAATGCCTATGTGAAAACAATGCAATCACCACACCACAGTCTGGAAGTCTGTCCTGAGCTGCAGCTGGCAGCAGGGATGGCAGGCCCACGGAGGCAGCCGCACCTGCAGCCAGGCCTTGCCTCAAGCCTCTGGCGTTCTGCTTTCAGTGTCACCAAGTAGGTGGCTTCTGGACAGGAAGAAAACCCAACTCCAAACCTCACTTTCACTTCCTTGACCACCAACTTCCTTCCTAACAAACCAGAGAAGGGCTGGCTCAGTGGCACAGCACCTGCCTGGTAAGCGCAAGATCCTAAGTGCAGTTCCCAGCACCAAACAAAGAAAAAGCAAAATAACAGACCAGAGAAAAGGTGAGGGTAGGAAACGGGATGCATGGGCAGGGTGAGGAATTAATGGCTGACACTAGTCAGCCTCAGGAACTCTGATCACTGCAGAAAGTCTTCCTCTTCTGCACTCCCCTCCTGGGTTCTGATAGCACAGTTTTGTTTTTTTGGGTGTTTTGTTTTGTTTTGTTTTGTTTTGTTTTGTTGTTTTTTTTTAACCAATGGTCAGATTTGGAAGAGGCCAAAGATTCATGATTCATGAGTCTTCCTTATGTAAACAGGATCACCAACCCCAAAAGCAACAGGCCATGCTATTCAAAAGAAAGTCAGGAAATTACTCAGGAACCTCCCTGGTGAGCAGTCTCAGGCCCTCTGCATAGCACAAGGTGGAGAGGGACACTGACCTAACTCCAGTGCCAGCCCTGGACACCCAGAACTCACTGCCATGCCAGCAGCTGCTGTTACCCAATAATCCTCATGTTGGCATCTAGGATCCAGGCACAGGTCCTCGTGGTTTCCTCCTGTCTCAAACCCAAGGCACCCAGACACAGCTGAACTCTGAGTCCTTCTAGTCCATCCCTTTTCTCAGCAAATGGCACTATGCAGCTGAACCACCAGGAAGCTTGTTACACTGCTACCACTCACCTCATTCTCCACACCCAGCCCCAAGTCAGCCACAATGCCACCCATGTCACCTTGAAAGTGCCTTGGTACCACCTGCTACCCACCCCAGCCCAAGCTTCTGCCTCTTGCCTGAATCACTACCACAATCTCCTGTCCCCTGCATCAATTTTTATAAAATTGAAAATTTAATTGATAAATAAAATTACATTCATTCACTACATACAACAATTTGAAATGTATATGCACTACTGGCGAAGTATACTCGCTACAGCTAAACAGCAGATCCTGTACCCCAGTCACCTGGTTATGGCCCTGCTGGGTGGAGACTCCTGGCTTCACTGCCTTTCTCTTTGTGACCTCCAGGGTCAACCCAGCCCCTGCCTGTTGTTGCCACTACATCACCAGCTTCTCTATCTATCCCTGCTCCCATACACACACTAGCTTCCTTTCTGTTTCCTGGCTGTGCTGTGGGAACCTCAGCTTTACACCTCAACAGAGCTAGTGGGTTTTCTACTTCCTGTCTGAGCTCTCTACTGCTGCTGCTTCTCTGTCAGCAACCTGGGGAGAAGGTGAGGACACCTATAATACTCTCACTGCCCAAGGCTGTCAGCTGTCACCTTCCCAGAACCCCAGACTGGATAAGCCCAGGTTATGCCTCTCTCTTGATGGCTCACCTGATGCCCTGCACTGCTGCCCTTGGGTAGGGCACTGTCACAAGTCACCTGCACATGAACAGGTTTTCAGTGAATGAACACTGGCTTCTTATGAAACTTGGATGACATACTTTTACTCCTTAACAATTAAGATTTTTGGTAAGAATTCTTAAAAAAAACTATATGTGTAAAAGCATATGTACTATTACACCCAAGGTCTACTCAGCAAATATCATCCAACACAAGATCCCCTCTCGGAAAGACAATTCCGTCAGAATTTGGCCCTGCTTTTGCTCACTGTGAACTTTTCTTTCCAGAGCTTAGTCACTCTCATTAGCACTGTCAGGCAGAGGAGCCAAGCCCAACCGATCTCCTGCCCTAGAGGTCAGCCATTCCTCTGTAGTCTATGGCCGCTTCTGCACCCCAACAACAGAGCCCACAGCAGAGTTCTCCTTTTTGGAGAACTCTTAGCACTGCAACTGTATGACTGGCAAAACCTAACGTATTCACTCTTGCCTGCACAGAGAATCTGCACCAGCCCCCACAGGACTCTAACATGACTGGAATCTCACAGTTGGAGAACCTGGGAAGGGACCTTGCTTCATGTCCACGGAGGATGCAGGTTGGAACTGCACAGCAAGCACATCTGGTATCAACACCTCCACTGGTCTACACTGAGAAATACGTAACAAACTAACTCTCCAGAGACAGAGATTATCATCTAGTGATGTTTAAAGGGCACCACATGAAAGCCATCCTCGGGAGGAACCCGAGGTTACTGTGTTTCCCACAGCACAATTCACAGTGGCTACATGAAGCAAGCAGCCTATGCCCAACAACAGATGAATGGATGAAGAAAGTGTGCTATTTACACACAACAGAATACTACTCTGTCATGAAGAGTAAACATGAATAATCTGTAAGAAAATCAATGTACTTTAAAACTGTAACATATTGAATAAATTAAACACACAAAGGTAAAGATCACACGGTTTCTCTTAAATGAGAAACCCAAGAAAATAATGTAATGTCCAAAGCAAAAAACAGTAATAAACAGAGGTAGACTTTGTGGTAGACTTTCAGAAGAGTATCTGAAAAAAGAACAGGCAAACAATAAATAATAAATAAGAAAACTACAAAAAAAAGGTCTCTAACTTAAAAACAAAATAGCTCCAACTGTCCTACTAACCAGTTTTGAAACTGTCTCATTGCTATTTGTTTCTCAATAAAATTTTTTTAAAAAAGGAGAAGAGGGCAGGGACAGAGGCAGTACAAGTGACCAAGACACACCATGTGCCCATGCCGTGCCCAAGATGCATGCACTCAGCACGTGCCGCAGGCTTGTGCTGCTGTCTTCTTTGGGTTCTGGAGCTGTTTTCCCTCAGGGTCCCCACACCCATACTTGGCACCAAAATGAAAATATAGTCTAACAAGAGTAACAATTTTATCCCAGAATGGAGGCTTTCTTAGACCCAGCCTCTGATCACAGCTTAAAGGGCAGCACTGAATGACACAGGCAGATTTCTTTCAGAGTCCTTCTGAGCAGTGGAACCCCCACCACTCACTCACCAGAACTCAGAGAGGTCAGCAAACAAACGTACAATTAAGAAACAGTAACTTACCCACTTCAGTAAGCTCATGTTTTTCTAGTGTTAACTTCTTTGACTGCTTAATAAAATGAAATGGCTGTATTTTTATTCCTTCAATTTGAGGAAATAACAGAGCAAAACCAGATTCTCCAATTTCTATTTCTTGAGGTTGATTGCTACCTGATCCCATTGGAGTCACTAGGAAGGAAAAAACAAAACAAAACAAAAAACAACCAAAACAATTTTGTCAAGATTCAGTAAAAACTGAATTTCCTTAGGTATTGGTATAAATTAACCAATTCCACTCTAAAAAACTTCAGTTTAGGTCATTAAACAATGACTGACCACACTAAACAGCCACTACGGGAGTACAAGATTTCCTTCTACGGGGTCATTGTCAGGGTGACTGTCACGAGGCCTACAACTTCCTTCCAAGTGCTTCAGAACTCAGGGAAGGGAAGGAAATGAGCAGAAGAAAAGGCAAATAAGGCAATTTTTTTAGTCCCTGACCCCAGAACAAAGGGGCAGAGTGATTCTTGGTCTGGTATCCCTTGAACCTTTTCATTGCTTGAAGCTCTTTAAACAAAACATCTGGAGGACACACATTTTCATAGCAATTCCACTTGAAAAAATTCATCCCAGAAATATCTGAAAATTATACAATTTGTGTAGATTTATCATAGAATTCTAATAGAAAATAAAAAGGGAAAACTTAAATATCTCACCCTGGCATTTAGATAAAAAGTTACATTGTTATTACACAAGTCAAGCACACAAACGTGTATTTACTTGATAAGAAATGTTTGAGCTGTCAGTTGTAAAGGCAGATGTAACAGGCTGAATTTTGTGATCCTCAGCCTCCTAAAATCCATAGACTGCACCCCACGCCCCCTCTGGAGAGAAGGCCTTTGCAGAGAGTTAAGACTAAACGAGGCCACAGGTGGGCCCCCACTCAAGGGAGCAGTGTGAGAGAGGGGAAGAGGCAGGTCCACAGATGGCACCTGTGTGCAGAGAGGGCCCCGTGAGGCCACAGGGAGCGTGGGGGCTCAGGAGAAACTCAGGCTGGTGCTGGACTTCCGGCCTCCACACTCTCAGAAGACTATGTGGAGAGTGGGGCAGCCCCAGCAGTCAGTCACATCCTGCTGCCCAGAGGGCACAAACACTAACACCATCATGTTAACAGTGGTCACCTGCATTGTCTTTTTTTTTTTTTTTTGCTTACCTGTACCTTCCACTTTTTGTTCATAATGATAAATGATCATAACTAGTAGGTAAGTAAATCCCCAACTTACGAACATTCAGGCAGCACACTTTCAGATACCAAAGGATCTTACCTTACCTCACTTGTAGATACAAACACATCCCAGAAGCTCACATCTGCAGGACACTGTCACATTGTGCTGCTGTGTGCTAACTGGACATTGTGACAGTGTACAGAAATGCAGGGTTAATCAGAACCCAGGATGTTTGGAAGCAAGAGGAAAAGCAGTGGCAACGTGAAGGGACTATGAGGAAGCGCAAAGCAATAACCATAGAAACAAAAGTGAAAACTGCTACTGTGGAAAACAGCTAAAGTTGCAAGAACAAGTTCTAGGAGGCAAAACGTTCTTTGAGTTGTAGCTAGTTTGTCAAAATTTTTATTAAAAATTACCATACATTAAAATTAACTGTTTTGGTATGTGCATACTAACGAGGACCTAGGACTGGCCAAATAGCCCAGCAGATTAAACGCCTGCAAGCAAGCTCAGGGGCCAGGAGTTCAATCCCCAGGCCTGCTGTGCTGGCCCCCGCCCCCAGGGGCACGCAGAAACTACAACTGAGACTGGGCGTAGTGGCGCATGCCTGTAATCCAGCTCCTGGAAAGCTGTAAACAGGCAGATCACTAGTCTGATCTGCTAGTGAGACCCTGAACACCCTGTAGGCCCTTTCTTAAAAAATACAAAAAAAAAAAGGAAATGTTAAGGGAGCCGGGGAGTTAGCTCAGTAGAGTAAGCACCAGCCTGGCAAGTGCAAGGTCCTGAGTTCAATCCCTGGTACCGCAAAAAATATATATAATAATAATAATAATAATAATAATAATAATAATGAGGACCTAGTGGAATGAGAGGCACAGTGAAGAGATGGGGAGAGAGCCAAGATGAAGAGCAGACTAAAGAAGCAAAGAGATTAACAACACAGAAAATGGCATGGGATTTTCTTCACTTGAAGAGGTAATGAAACCAAGCAATTCTGCTTCTTGGTGACTGCCTAAGAACCAATTAAGACTTCCATCAAGGAAATGTTCCTGACAGCTTTGTTCTTAATACCTAGCAACTGGAAGTACCAAAGGACCATCAAAAAAAGAATGACAAAACAAATGATGGTCTATTTTTAAAATAAAATCTAACCTAAGAATGGTATTTAAATGGGTCAGTGGTACACATAACAAATGAGTATCTCAAATGTTGTTAAAAACATTTATATGAAGTGAAGTAGCCCAGATGCAAGAACAGACCATGTCCATTAATGTGACATTCAGGCGACTTCTCTGTGGTCTCAGAATCAGAACAGGGGTTATCAAAAGCATGGCTAACAGGACTGAGGCAGGCAAGAGCTCCCCAGGGGATGGAAACAATCTGCATCTGTGCTGATAACAGCAGGACACAAACCTGTCAGCACTCAGGACATTTTATACTGAAGAGCTGCATCTGACTCTAGATAAACTTTATCTCAACTAAGAAAACAGACATCCGAACCTCATTTCTCAAACCTGGAAAATTTCCAACCTAGAGGAAGACGGAGGAGTGAATGGCTGTTCCAAAATAATCACTAGACTATAACCTGAGAAAAACGAGGTAATCTCATAGAAATTCTGTCCAGGCCCCATGGAATGAGCTCAGATAAGGCCGGAAACTGAGAAGGGCCAAGAAAATACCAGAGGCCACCTGCCTGAGTAAGTGACATCAAAAGCACAGGAACACACGGGAGCAGAGGCACGAAGCAAAAGAGCCGCACAACTAGGCAAGGACGAGGCTCAGGGTCTCATCCTCCCACAGTGGGGTCACATCCATCTCCCCAGCACATTTCCAGAGAAGAAATCATGTTGGATTTGGGGAAGTGAGAGCTCCTGCAGCCACAGCACAGGGACAAGAAAGTGACACTGGGAAGGAGAGCTAGAATTCCATAGGAGCACTTGTTGGAATCAGTAATGAGAAAACAAGACCAATCATTTAAGGACAATTAAAGAATTTAAAGAAACTTTGGCCACTGCTATCATTTTCTTAATCCAGTGAGGGGCGAGCCATCTGAGCAGTGGGGATGAGGCTGGTGGAGGCGGCGGCCAGCCCTACCCAGAGCACTTGACCCCTGTTCACCTGTGGGGCTTGGAGCCATCTGCCCCACCATCCAAGTTGCTCAGAGGCACAGCAAGTTTTTCAAGGACACTTGCTGAGCACTGACCAAGCCTGTGCAAAGCCCTGGGTGTGACCCCTCCTATTCCACCCAACCCACCAGTCAGACAGGACCCTCAAAATGCCAGAAATCCTTCCCAAGGTGGAGAGGCATAATGTGAGCTTCTCCTCCCCAGAATGGCTGCTGGGATGAAGGCACCAAGTCCTGCTTCACACGGGCATCCCCTGAGATCTGAACTCCCACTGGTAACAATTTAAGGAACTCAAGTATCATACCACACCCAACAACCAGAAAAAATAAATGTGCTTCTCAGCTACATACAACTCACCAAACCACAGGATCCCACATTAAAGCAAGGAGGAAATGATCAAACGGCTTATTTCTCTCACCAACAATCCCTGGGGTCACAATCCCGAGGACTTGGCACTGTTTCGGGAACAGCTTCTCGAGGGCAGCTGCTGTTTCCATACTCATTCTTTTCCTTACTGTAATAACAGAGGCAAAATTACTAAATTTCATCCACCTAAGGTCAGATCTGACAATGTTGAAAAAAAAAAAAAAAAGCAAATATCTGATACTATCATGCTTTATAAAAACTTGATTAGAAATTTTTCACCCCAGTGGTAGCAAACTTCAAAGCAGCAGCTGAATGTGAAGTTCTGTGCACACTGTCTCTGTGTTCGGTTGACCTCCCTCACAGACCATGACACTAGGATCCCCTGTGGGAGCCCCATTCCTGGCCACAGCGTCTTGTGGTACTAGGCTGCCTTTCCCTCAGCAGGCCAAGCATGCGTGGGATCTGTCAGTCACTTGGGAAACGGAACCCAGCACTAAGAGGCAGAATAGTGTATACATCCTGCTCAGAGTAAAAAGCAGTGCGGGGAGGACTGTTATATTTCAAAGTGTGAAACACTTCTAAAAACTCCTTTCAGCTCTACGAGGTTAGAGATCAACTCAAGTACCCATGGCTCCATGAGGTTCAGAGATGCTCATGCACACAGCAGCCCTAGTCAGGAAGCTCAAGAGTCAGCGACTCCAGGACTGCATGATGTAGAACTAATAAAAAACTGGGAAGAGAGCAAAGACCTTTATACTTACCCTTCACGTGGCCCCGATGCTGCTGCTGACTAACAAACGTTTCAGAATCGGCCATATACAGAACCGTCCTTGGTAAGATGTGAATATTCTGCAATGAAAACGATCAGCATTGGACACCATGGACCCATGGACGTCTGCATGGTCCCCTAGTCTCTTTTCTGGCATCCGCAGAAAATGACTGCTGAATTTTCATTACTAACTCCCTGGAAATCAGAGCATAATGCAGCAAAGAGCAGGTGCCCTTCCACACCAAAAGGACAGACAAATGGAGTTTCACAAAATGCACAGTGGTCTTTAGTTCTAATAAATAAACCAACTTTATGTCTATCCAAAGACGCTGCACACTGGATAATGCGGAAAACAACAGCAGGCATGATTTAAATGGAGTTCGCATGTTTTTGTATGACAGTTTAATATATAAAACTTCAAGGCCGTACTATAAACCTTAATAACAATATTAAGACTTTATGATGTATTAAAAGCATTATCCCTAGTATGGTAATGTGCAACATGCACCAGGTATACATTTATTTACCTTTCTAACAACTCCATAAGGTTATAGGGAAGTACTTTTTACCAGATGAACCCTGTGGCTCAGAAAGGTTAAGGAACTTTTTTTTTCAAAGCCACACTGCTGGTATCTTCCAAAGCTTCAGTCCACACCTAAGAGTGGCTAGAAGAGCATTACAGTGTACAAACTGTAAAGTTCTATAAGATAATGCCTACTGAAACCAAAAAATTGAAAACTACAGTTTTTTTAAAAATTCACACCATTCTCTTCCCCCGAGAAAATTAGGACATTCAGATAACCCCCCTTTGTATTTTTGATACCACTCATAGTAAACAATTTCGTAATCTGCATCTTTACTCTTTCCATTAAATGACCCTTGAAATTTATCAGTTAATAACGTCACTTCTGAAATATTAATATGTTAATTTCCATTATTATAAATGATGTTTCAAAGAACTTCTTTGGCAGTCTTTGATGCATTTAGAATTTTCCCAAATGACAACTTTTGGTTCCAGGAGAAGGAAGCTTTCACCAAACCCGTCCTTGGCTACTGGCCCGCCTGCAGGGACCCAGAAGCAGCAGAACCCAGGGGCAGGAGCAGACGGCGCGCGGACCTGCTACCCAAAGATACGAGGAACAGGAGCGCCAGGTTTCTCCTGCTCAAAAAGAGCTGGAGTAGGGAGAAAGAACTTTATGTCGGGTTAAATAGGATACACCTGCGTGCACCCGAGCGTCCCCAGCCGAAGAACGGACAGGAACGCAGCTGTCTGCCGCGCGCAGTGGCCTGCCTAGGGCCGCGCTTCCCATCGAGAGCTCCACCAGGAAAACATTCCACACAGCACCACCACGCTGCAGCTGCACGGAACTGGTGCAGGCAGTTTTCTCAGCAGTGACTGAAGGACAGTTAACTCCGGCCATGGCCGGCGTAACGAGTGATGGGGCGACTGTCCGTGCTGTGGGGTACGAGGGTCCAACCAACCCGCCCGCGCCCCACTTGCCTCGAGCTCCTCGGCGACGGCGCGCAGCAGTCTGTGCCCGTCCGGGGCAGCGTCGGGGAGGGCGTCGGCCCGGCCCACGGACACCCAGGCCACGGTGCGCTGGCCCCGCAGCACGCGGCGCGCGCACGCGCTCCAGAGCCGGCTCACGCTGCAGGGAAGCGGGGCGCGGTCGGCAGCAGGTCGCCCCCTGCTCCCAGTCCCCAACCCCCCACGCACTCCCAAGCATCCCACCCGGGGCGGGAAGCATCAAATTGAGGGGCGGGGACCTCGGGACGACCCTGGAGCGCGAGCGCACGGACGGCGGACCTGGCCACCGGTCCCGAGGTCCCCGCCAGACCCCCAGGGCAGGGCGCCCAAGACCCTTACCTGGCAGCGCGCAGCAGCGCCTTGGCGGGCAGGAAGGCGAGAACGCGCTCCACCACCTCCGCCAGGTTGCTCAACACGAAGGCTCCTGGAACGTCTGAGCCGCCACCGGGATCCATGCCCGACGCCATCAGAGAAACAGCCTGGCCGAGAGTCCGAGGCCGCGGAGCCGCGGAGCCGCGAGCATGCACTGCGCAGGCGCGCGTGCCACTTCCGGCCGGCCGGGGGCGGAGGCGGAGCGCCCTCCCTCAGCTCTCCGAAGGCGGGGCCTCGTTGGCCGCCGGGACTCTGCCCGCCAGGACGGCGCACTGCTGCCCTCTGTCGGCGCCGCCTCGGCCCTCGCCCGGGTGAGCTGGAACCCCGGGGTGGCGCTGCGATTTGCGGGGTTGTCGCCCTCCACGCTCACACCAACGAGGGCGAACGTCCACGACAGGAATCACCGGACAAGTAAACAGTGTGCACGTCGACAGCGTACCGCTTTCACGGGACACGGAGGGTTTCACAGTTACGGACGCGGACCCTGAAAGCCTCAAAGGATGTCAGCGCGGCCGGGATTCCCGGACTCACGCCGCGAAAAACGCCGCACCAGTCCTGACGCTTCCCACGACCTCGCTTTGGGGACTGGCGCGGGAGGAGGGCCTGAGAGGGGCGCTTCCCCACCTGCGGGGGCGGCTTCCACGCGCAGCGCTCCCAGAGGCTGCGCCCACCGGGCGGCGGGGCCGAGCGCGGTTCTTCCGGGCCGCTGAGCCATCTCCTCTGAGAACGCAGGCGCGGGGAGGGGGCGGCCACGCTCGCCCCCCGCGGGAACGCCTCCCCTGAAGCCTCCCGCACCTGCCCACCTCACACCCGGTCCGGAGCCCAGCGGCCGGCAGCATATGCTCACCTGAAGCACAGCAGCTCTGGTGTGGGAAAGGTGACAAGGCAATTTTTAAATGGTACTTTATTCATAAACTTGATGCAAGTTTACAAAATTTACCGTACATTGCCAAATAAATCTGCGGTGAAAACATCCAAAAACCAAGGCATGCCAACTGTGCAGTCATACTTCTGCAAAGCTGTCCCTCACCCAAGCACTGTCAAGGTTTGGCCTCAAGCTCAGTTTCGCTGCTTTGAAGAACTCTGCTCCTTTGCTGGTTCTGAGACAGTCAAGCCAACAGAGTGCCAGAACTCGTTTACCAGCTTCGCTGCCCGCCAAAACCAGCCCTCAAGAAAGCAAATACCCACAGCAACGCTGAAGCCCCATCTCAGGAGTGGCTGACCAAGGTAAGAGCTGAATCTTAAAGCGAATGTGTGAGAAAAACTTCAGTGTTGTAACTAGTTTGCAGAAAAGTGTGCTTCTGGGTATCCTTTTTAAAGTGCTTATAAACTAGAGCTTGGGTTGTTGTTTTTTTTTTAAAGCTACTAAACAGGACTGAGGTAAGGCAATAACATGGAGAGTACCTTATTCTGATCAGGTTTTATGAAGGAATTAACATAGGTAGAGCTCTTTAGACTTAAAAGCCATTGTGTAATCTGTAACATAGAGCAAAAATTGTAAAGTCTCCAAGTTATCTTTTTGTATTTGTATAGCTTTTGCTTAAGAAGTCTGTCTTCATGACAATCAGTTTATCAGTTTATTAGTTTACAAATAATTGCAACACCCAGTTGATAAGGGAAAGGTCAAATGTCTTTAAATATCTTCCAGCTCTACTCCGTGGCTCGAAAGCACAAGCAACAGTGAACCCAGCAGGCCTCGGCCACCCAGCGGGAGCAGGCACTGGGGCGGGAGCCTCTGCTAACAAGGACTCGAGCTCAAGACAGTCCACGGCTTCCAGTGACCCTTACCAACTTCATGAGTAGGTTTCTGGCCATTATTTTGGCAATATCATAAAATGGTTTTAGACCTGGAAAAAGTTGGGTTTAGAAGACCTAAATTTTCTAAACCAACAATGAACATCGATTAAATTTTTATTGGCTCTAAATGGAACAGTATTTTGCAAATTCTCATAACCCATAGGTTCAATATTAAGGAAGTTACTGTGACACCGCAGCTTCAATGACCTGATGCTGACTTGCCTGCTTCAAGACTTCACTTTTCAAGGAAGAGATGGCAAGGGGTGGCAGTGCATATACCAATCAGGAAGAATACAGTATGGGCCCAGCTGCTCACAGAAAGGCCAGAACTGAGGCTGTGTCAGTGATGGGTTATCACTACAGATCTAGGCATTAACGTCTCTGTGTGGTCGACTCGGCACTCAAAGCTTGTGTCTGCATGTTGGAAAGGTTTTCTTTAAAGCAGCATTGGTCCGGCTACACAGAGTCTACATATTTAGCCATCTTCCTTTGGAGGAGTATACCAACCTGAAACAGAATGGAAACCAAGTTAAGGTAGTTTACTCCTAAGCAGAGTAGGAGAGCTTATAATGTATGGCTTCTGCTCACAATTTGGTGTTTCAATTTACTGTAGAAATCAAACTTGCACTTAGGTTAACACAGCAATCTGATAAACTCACAATTTAAAGGTATTTCCTATAGAGTGAATCTGAGTTTTCACATAAGCTCTACTAGTGGTATCCCTAAAGTGTAGCACATTACAATAGATACTATATTTCCATATCCATTATGTATCTGAGAGTAAACTTGTCACTAAGAACTATTCTCCCCAAGCAAAATCCTGACATTTACGGTAAGAGGAACGAGAAGGTGGCCACTGAAGCAGGTGCCATGACTAAGTGTCCAGGCCAGCACTAGGAGCAGAAGCCCCAGGAGAATCCAGCTCTACGGTGCCACATGGGCTGTGCTGCTGTGCTATAGCCTACAAAGGCCTGCGAGTGGTACAGCCACATGTGCTCACCAGAGAAATGGTAACCGGGAGGTAATTTAGCTAGATTTATGTATTGTATGTTTAACACATAATTTTATGTAAATTTAAAATAAGTTAAAAATTCATAAAAATTTAAAAATTAGAAGCTATCCCCCCCCTTTTTTTTTTTTGGTGGAACTTGGGATTGAACTCAGGCCCTTGCGCTTGCCAGGGAAGCACTTAATCAACTGAGTCATCTCCCAGCCCCTCCCCCTCCTGATTTTGAGTCTATTGCACTTTCATCGTGGTTCAACTTTCTCACACATACTTTCTCTCTTTCTCGCTGTCTCCCTCTCTTGCTCTCTGGGAATTTTCTAAACACATTTTTGAATACTACTTGTAATATTTGATTTAATAAGGTCAGGGTTGGCAGGGGAGATAGCTCGGCACCTGCCTGGCAATTGCAAGGATCCAAGTTCGATCCCTGGTACCTGGTACCACATGCCATGCCAGCCTCAGAACCCCAGGTATGCCGTACCAGCCCTGAAACCGGGCATGGTGACACATGCTTGTAATCTCAATGCTGGGGAAGCTGAGACAGGAGGATCACTACAAGTCCAAACTGCATAGCAAGACCCTGTATCAAATTTAAAAATAGATAAATCAGGCCATGGTGTTGCATACCTTTAATGCCAGCTACTTGGGAGGTAGGGGATCACAAATTCAAGCCCAGGCTGGGCAACTAGCAAGACCCTGTCTCAAAATAAAAATATAAAAATGGATGTGAATGTAGTGGCCCTGGGTGTAATTCCTGGTACCACCAAAAATAAGACAGCCAAAAAATGTGACTGTTACTCTGTATGTAAGGGTAAGTTAGATGCTATCTGGAGCAAGCTGTCAAGAAAACACTAAATTTGGAATATTCTAAAATGTGTTGACGGACTGAAGCGCCTGCTTAGGCAGTCACAGGGGTCAGAGGTTTGATCCCTGGCCTGCCATGCTGGCCCTGCCCCCAGGGTGTGCTGAGATAGTGATTGAAACTGGGCGTGCCTGTAATCCCAGCTGGGAAGGTGAAAACAAGAGAATCACTACAAGTCCGACTGTGTAGTGACACTCTATAGACCCTGTACACTCTGCCCTAAATACAAAAAAATGGTAATAATAATAATAAAATGTGTTGAGCCACAAGGTTTTGTAGTACAGACACTCCTCATTTAAGGACCTGTCTAATGACTAGCCACGTGGGATGAACACTGTTCAGACTTTTAACCTGACACTCAGACACCACCCATCTTTTTTTTTTGTACAGTAATGTGCACCTTGTTGATAGAGCCTCAATGTTTTTGTACAGTACCCTTTATTTGTGTAGTACTGTAATATCTGATGTTATACTGTTGAGTGAAATACTGTAGTTTTATGTTGTACAGCACAGTATTGTAAGAGTTATGCAAATAAAAGCAAAGCCATCAAGTTGGAGTTTCCTTTGGCAACTTCTTTGTTGTGAATATTGTAATGTGCATACTATAAACAATTCCTCATTTAGCAACCAATCCATTTAATGACCCAGTCCCAATACTAGAACTGGGGTGTTAAATGAGGACTGTCTGTAGTGTACAGGCTCCTTTGGGTTTCATGTACATGTTGTACCAGAAACAATTATTATCAATACCTAGGTCTTGTCTTCAATTTTTTTTTTTTTTTCCAGAACCGGGATTGAACTCAGACCCTTGTGCTTGCCAGGCAAACACTTATTATACTAAGCCTTCTCCCCGGCCCCTTGTCTTCAAATTTTAACATCTTCCTCTTTAGCATGAAACTGGTTTTCTAATACTATTTCCAGAAATAATCCCTAAAAAAGTGACAAGTTGGTTTGTTCTTAAAAGTGCAAAACATAAACCTTAAATTACGAACTAACACATTTCTAGGAAAATAAATAGCACTTGCTATAAACACATTCCTCCAGGGACCCAGAACACTAGAACAAAGGGCACCTGTCACCCCCATCCCACAGGAGTTTCTGCTATCAGCACCCAGGTACAAAGTGCCTTGTGTACCTCCCTTTGACAACTAGGGTACCACAGCACCGTGCCAATTCAGGAAACTAAGGCTTAAAGATAATTTGTTCAGGGCCACAGAGCTAGCACGTGACTCCAATGGCACTGAAATAGTCTCTAGGTCTAGGTTTGTTATCTCAGTACACAAAGATAAAACCTTCAAAGCATGTGCATTGGGAATAATACAAGTGAAAAGGCCAATAAAGTTACCGGAAAGTATTTTTTTTAAGATAAACTCTTCATTGTGGAAAGTCATCAGAGGCACTCAGTAATCCACACCAAGTAATTCTGCACATGGCTAGCTATGATCCTTACTGCATTTACTCAATTCTAACAGAATTCTATTCATAGGGCCCCATTCCTACCCTATCAGGACACCTTTCAGGTGGGCACAGTCTCTCACTTATCCATCTGCTCAGAATCCCTAACTCAACTCAAGGTACCTAGTCAAGTATCCAGAGCAAAAAGAGTTTAAAAAATCATGGTGTTAACAGTTCAGAGATTTCTGAGTGTAGCATAAATTAAATGTTTTCACTGTGATAAAGATAACTTGGTAAGATATTAAAACCAAAAATGAAACAGTATAAACATGTTATATAAAACTTCATAAATACTTATTGGATAAAACGTACCATTTTTCTCATGTATCTGTACAATGGAATTGTAGGACTGCTGGGCTCTTGCTAGATTATACTGATTCTGAAAGAGAATTATAAATTTCAAATCAAAATTAACTGGATGAAAATTGTTACAATACACTTACAGATGTATTGTGGTTGTGTTTCAAAGAACACAGGAAACTAAATACTTCCACAAAAGAACAAAACCAAGATTGTTGTTTAAACTCCATTAAAAATCTATAAGCATCAGTTATATCTCTGGAGTCTTCCTACCACTGAACAAGAACAAAATTTCATAGTTCTGCAGTACCTCTACGTATGGATGGGTCAAGTTAAAAGATTCCCCTTGGACATGAGTGAAACTCAAACTGTCTTCCTCATTAACTTATTCCAAAAAGGCAAGTAACGGAGTATTTTCAGATTAGAAAACATTGAGCTTCAAGCACTATACATATATGTTAATGAGATTCTGACTTGGAAATCTGCATGATGTCCACACCTAGCTCTAAGTTATGATTTACTAAGGGAGCCCTTTTCTGTTAAAAGGAAAATGAAAAAGTTGCCTTGAACTAAGTGGACAGGATATGTCTGCATCTTGTACTATGAATAACCACTATGAAGACAACAATATGCAATGTACTAATTATTGACACTATCCTACTAATCATTTGTGAAACTGTCTCACTGCTGTTTCTCAATAAAATTAATAAAAAATAAAAAAGTGAAAAAAGAAAAATTGCCTTCATTGAGCCAAGCTTAGGGTGAATTTTGTTTGGGAGTACAAGTAACATACACCTTAACTTCAACTACTACTTCCTGCAAACTCCCCAATGTGTTACATACTATCTACTGCATTATGCCACAGAAATGTCTGAGTAATAAATTTGCACAGTAGAAGAAAGCTGAGTTTGGTAGTGCACACCTGTAATCTTAGAACTCTGGAAGGATGAGGCAAGAAGATTCCAGGTTCCAGCCCAACCTAGGCAACTTAGCAAGACCCTGTCTCAGAATGAAAGAAAGGGTTTGGGATCTATCTAAATAGAAAGTCCCTGTGTTCAATCCTCAGAACTGCCAAATTTAAGACTATGAACACATTCTAAGTAAAAAAATACTCCTACCTGTTTCTAAACCACCCAGACATTTACCTACTTTACCCATTATTCCTGATTTCTTTTATGTCCTTGGGTTTACAGCCCATCTCCACAGGAGCAAGCATGTCCACATACATTTGTAAAACACTGTCAACATGCCTGCAATGGAGTTGCTGAGCTACAGGACATTGGCACCTCTGGCCTATCACTGAGACATACTGCTCAAGTGTCCCTGCAGGTATCCCAACACATGAACCTCACTGATGGAACACTTTAAATTTTTGTTATTTCTGATGGCAGGTAGAAGACACTCTCAGGGTAGTTTCAATGTGCATTTCTTTTTTTTTTTTTTTTTTTTCAAAATTTTATCGATAAACAGATAGCAATGAGACAGTTTCAAATCAAATCGGAAGTACAGTTTCAACAAATAACACACTGCATATATT